TTCTGGTTATAAGCTGTAGGGGCTATGGGATGTAGGGTTTTGGAAGGTTCTTGGGTGTAATTTTCGAGTCCCAACTTTTCTTCCGCCTATCAAACATCCCAAAAGTAAATGCCTGATGCCAATTCCAAGTTGGGAGGGGATCAAACTTGCCTCCTACACCTATATCGATCACCCCATTTAGCCCTAGAGCCACTTTTACTGCTCAACACCTGGATCCCTCTATTCGCTCGCTTTGGGAGACTAATAAGTGCTAGTCTCACCTGATTTCCCCGCAGGTTTCGTGTCATAAAGATCTACATGGAAAGAATGTTGGTGTGAATACACATTACAACAATTTATGTCATTTTAATGCAAGTTTGTTAGTGCCTATAGCTATACAAATAGTTTCTTAGCTGTGGCACCCAGAGAAAAAGATATTAAAGTAGATGAGATTAGGAACAGTTTTAGAATAAATTTACATGACGAATAAGATATTATAAGCGAGACAGCAATGTTCTTCCACGAATACACGCTCACAGTTTAGTACATTTAGTGATTTAAACTAAACTAACAGCTGCGTGGAGATTGTTAACACGATGTTATGCTCACATCTTTATTTACACTAATAGGCCTTGGGATTTTCCGGTTATTCCACTGTTCCAGTAATACAGTAAGCCCCCACCCCCACCCCACCCCACATCTGTCATTAAAACAAACCAACAATACAAACTATCCCCTAAAATATTCAGCCGATGTTGCATTAATAACGAAGTGGTCCTCTTTTGTGTCATCCTCCATACAGCCTCTTGCACTTAGTAGTGCACAATGTCAGTCACTACTGAGAGAAGGTAGCCCAGTCAGATAATCTGAAGTCACTGTTTTCTGTTTTGGTTCTAGAAAATAGATCTTCCAACCATCACCAGCGGCTGAAGGGATGGTGTTATTCCAGCTAGGGTCCGTGCAGGTAGCAAAGTAATGTAAGTCCCCATGGTTCCTGGTGTGGTGATCTACCTTCAGTTGTTGGCGATCTATAGCCCGTAGCCCGTGTAATGGCTAAACACCCTTACAAGTGGCGTTAAACCAACACATTAGCTTTAAGTTGTAGAAAAATCACATGACATTAGACTTTGATTGATGAATTATTTATTTCTGCCTCTTGTAACATATCTATACATAATCAAGCGCTGATCTTCCGCGAAAGGAGTGCTATATAAAAAGAAACAGCTATTGTTTTTCAATATTATCTTTGAAATGACCAGAAATATTATCTGACAATTAATGATGATAAAATATCTTACCTTCATCAAATACATATGTTTTAACATTCTTCATATGTTTATAGCATCATCCACCACGGCTTAGATAAAATTTTACATCAACCACTGTCAACAGCCCGCAATGTTTTCTAAACAGAAATTTCTACCAACCAAAGATAATAGCCCATAATATCGACAACTAACAAGTATGAAAGCTATGGATCACATCCAACTAAAACACCAACTCTATGTATAACACCAATATACAATCATGAATCACATCCCACAAAGATACCAAACATATGTGGGGTCATTCTCAAAATTTGCCCAAGTTTTGGACAGTAGCACATTTCTCTGAAAGTATTATTTCAATTTTTTTTCAAAAAATCGTATTATCCAAGAAAATGTATTTTGTTCTTCATAATGATGTAAAATGGTGTACCTGTTTGTTATTTTTGGGACAAATTTGGGTTTTTATCATCATTTTGAAAGAAAAACCACTGTCAGTGGACAGCGACACTACTTTGCAGTACCATAAAGGTTAAATTCCAGGCCATTTATATATATTTTTTAAAGATTTATAATGAAATCCCAATATTAAAAACGCATTCCTGCATGAAATATTGAAAAAAAAATTAAATCACATACTTATGATGAAAACAATGACTGTCCAAAATGTCACAGTCAGTGGTGTAACGAATATAAATTTGTGACATTAATAATTATCCCCCTTGAGTAAAATATGGAATGCTAACTGGTCCCTTTGTTGATGCCTTCCTCCCTCATGGCAGGAGTTTAGTGGAGGCCAAATTTTATTTTGATGTTGAAGTTTGTTGAATTGGTGAGTCTACTTTGTATCATAACTTTTTATAGAGTCAGTTGTGTAACGCTGATTACTTATTCATATGTACTTTTTCATAACATTGTTCATTTTAAAGTACATCAAAGCTAATGAAACATAAACATTTATCAACATTGGTCAGTGGTTAGGGAGCATTAATTGTTATAACGTTCATAAAAAGTGGGAATAGGTCAGTGGTGTAACTGTCAGTGGTATAACATGGGAAAATGTTACACCACTGACAGTTTTGCTACACCACTGACAAAATGTTCATTTAAGACACTTGTTCACAGAACTTAACTGCTTTGGTATTGTATTTGTCCAGTATATTTTATTGCCATTAAGTCATGCAAAAGTCTGTGAAGGTAATTTGTTCTGGTATATTAGTATATAAAGTTCCGAAAAATCAGTGGTGTAACAAAAGATGTCATTGGTGTAACGATGTTTACTGCAATATGTTCATTTTCCTATTGCTTTTAATATTATTTTGAAAAGCCTTTTAAAGTCTGAGAGATCAGAATTTGCCATTGATCTGTTCAACTCTGTTAATGATCAATTAAAAGGCAATTAATTTAAATTTATCGTTGAAGTTAATTCAAGAAAAATCAGTGGTGTAACAAAAGATGTCATTGGTGTAACAATATTACTACATTATGTTAATTGTTTTGTTTTGTTATATTATTTTGAAAACCTTTTAAAATCTGAGTGTTCAGAATTTGCTATTGAGCTGTTCAAATCTGTTGATTATGAATTAAAGGCTATTAATTTGGATTTATCTTTGTAGTAAGGTAAAGAAAAGTCAGTAGTCTAACACAAATATGTCATTGGTGTCACAGTATTCTTTGAATTTGTAAATTTTATTCTTACCTGTTGATATTATTTGTTTTTCAATGCCACATTTTGAAAATCGTTCTCCAATGATGATTATTAAGTAATTCAAAGCATCATATGGCTGTTGATTTGGCTTTACTGCTCTAGTAAGTTGCAGAAAGTTCAGTGGTGTAACAGGCGGGGTAACAAACAATATCAGTGGTGTTACATGCGTGGCATTTGCTAAGATTTAATTATTTCAAAAGAAAGAAAATTTTAACAGTTAGGACTGATATTTTATGATAACTGAAAGCAGCTTTAATACCAATGTATACATAACACATGTTTAGTCTTAAGTATACAAGTTATATCAGAAGAAATATCATATGTTACCATTTCATTCTTCTCACACCAAGACATTTTTGCTAAATTTACAATTACATTTGTGAGAATAATGAAGTGATTTAATTTATATTTAAAAAAGAAAATAGGTTGTAAATAGTGACAAAAGTGAAAAATTCCTAATCTCACATCAAAGTTTGAAAAAAATTACTTTTATGCTTGTTACACCACTGACAGGTTTTTTTCAGTGGATACTTTAAAAAGTTAATTTTAAAAATATTTTGTTACTTTCCTGTGTGCAAATTATCATGACTGCATTTTTTAATGTGTTGACCATCCAAAACAATAAAGAGATAATTCAATATGATGCTTTTCATTTTAATATTTTTCATAGCATGAACTTGGCCTTTTTTTGAGAATGACCCATGTATAAAACCAATATAAAACCATGAATCACATCCCACAAAGATACTGAACATATGTATAAAACCAATATCAAACCATGAATCATATCCCATAAAGATACCAAATATATGTATAAAACCAACATAAAACCATGAATCATATCCCACAAAGATGCCAAATATATGTATAAAACCAATATGCAACCATGAATCATCTCCCACAAAGATACCAAATATATGTATAAAACCAACATAAAACCATGAATCACATCCCACAAAGATGCCAAATATATGTATAAAACCAATATACAACCATGAATCATATCCCAAAAGATACCAAATATATGTATAAAACCAATATGCAACCATGAATCATATCCCACAAAGATACTAAATATATGTATAAAACCAATATGCAACCATGAATCACATCCCACAAAAGATACCAAATATATGTATAAAACCAACATAAAACCATGAATCATATCCCACAAAGATACTCAAATATATGTATAAAACCAATATACAACCATGAATCATATCCCACAAAGATACCCAATATATGTATAAAACTAATATGCAACCATGAATCATATCCCACAAAGATACCAAACATAAGTAAAACAACATTATTTGACCATGAATCTAATTCCACAAAAATACTAAACATATGGCTAAAAAACAAATATAAAACCAAGAATCACATTCCTCCAAACTGCCAAACATGTGTATAAAACCAATAAAACAAACATGAATTACATGCCACAAAGGTACCAAACATGTGTTCAATATAGAGTTAGTGCAAGGGAAGACACAGTCTTGACTCTCATCAAAACAAATTCCGTTTGATGTGAATGGACAAAATAGTTGGGAAAAATTATAGGAATGGATCACAGAAAATCAGTAATGACACCAAATACTAAACCAATATAAAACCATGAATCACAGCCCACATAACGTATTTCCGCTACCGATATATCCCGATATGCTACCACGAGAAACATCTCCAAATATGCTATATCAAGTAAATGCTTAATAACAAAGTGTATCATAACATGTATGTACACTTGTGTACATTTCAGCCAGGACATCAATGTTGACTTCGTGTTTTCCACTTCTAATGCACAATGCTTCTAATACAAAATACACCGCTAAGTTTGGGCAGGGAAGTATTGACAGGGAGTGTCGCCCAGAAGCTTAACAAGAATATCAAATTGTATTTCTAATATACAATGCTTCCACAGTTTTGTTTGGGCAGGTAAGAGTTCATTGAGAGTGTCAATTAGAACTGTACCCCAACATCAAATGTTATGTTTCCCAGCTCCAACAGACAGCTGGGATACCTCCCCTGTTGACATTGCTTCTTGGAAAATTGGAGTCTTAATGTGTATAATAAGACTTGTCGTCAGTTTGTTTCATATTCGACCTTCTCCTTCGTCTGGTGATGATGACGCCCAAGAAGATGGCAATGACGGTAACAGCGATTGCGACGCATCCAATGCCAACCACGGCTTGAACCATCCATGTTCTGGAGCCACCAGTGCTGATCTCTCCTTTCACGACTGTAGGGATGTAATAACATGACATGTTAGGGACACCACAAGTTGAAGTGTTTTATTTCATCGATTCCTCTTTATCCAGCTGTTACAGTTAAAGAAGTAGCGAGATAGCTGAAACAGTCAAATTGATTGTTATGTATCCATGCCAGTGTTATTACTCCTGTTTGTTTGTTCTGCTAAGTACCCCATAGGTGGCTACTCTGCAGATGACTGAATATCGGCCATGTGGAATTTGTTGAGTAATTTGTTAGAGTATTTCATTCAAAGTGAACTTACAAAATGAGACGGCTAAAGGAAACGACAAAACGTTTGGTTCGACTAGGTCCTTTTAAAGAGTTTTAAAAGATAATTAAGGAGTCAACAGACATGTTGGTTTCTACATCCGAGAAGATTGTAGAAGCATATATTGGTGTTGTTCAAAGGCAGCAGATCAGCTCTATGGGCCAGAAGCTGACAATCGATATAAACACTTGTTTATTAATTGTACGATTGTTAATATTGTACTCACTGATTCCAAATGAATATTGGGGAGTTAGTTGAAGTGAGCGTGATGCTCTGTTCAAGGTTGAGTTCTCAGTTACATTGCATAGAATTACCTGTTTGGACGCCATTTTCTTCAATAGTGACTTTGAAAGTTCTTGACAAGGTGAGATCTCCTTCTTCAGCCTGTCGTTTCCTTCGGCCGCTACACACCGGCTGAAATTTGGAGCGGAATGTGACTTGGTGAATGATCAGTTCACGAAAGTGAGTGAGTGAGTTAATATTTAACGTCACGTCGGCAATATTTCAGCCATATCGAGTCTCACGAAAGTGTTTGGACAAAGTTACACTTTATATTACGCATGACTGTTGATAATGTTGTCATATTGATAATCAACGTTGATATGAATCCTCAGTTTAAAAGAGTCATTAAACACCAAATAATGACAAAGGTCTTGCATACGAAAGCAATGAAACTATGAAAGGAAAACGAAATACCCGGGTCCAACATATTACCCCTTTCTGAAACAGGACAGAACACAGCAAAATTACTCCTGGAGCGATGTCATGTCTATAAACTGCTAACGGCTACATCAGTGCTGGGTGCTGAAGAAGGAATGCTGCGATTTTATCCCCCGCCTCACTGCCAAGGGTAACGTTCATGTTAAACGACCGCAAAGTAAATTTTACCATAACAGTTGAAGCTGCATTACTGAAGACTCTAAATCGGACTTTTAGGACCAGAACAGGGTTGACAGACTCCATGTCATGTTCAAACACAAAAAAGCCTCCGGATGAAGCAGATTGTGTGTTTTCGTCCGGCTGGGGAGAAGTAGGGGGCCTCGATGAGGATGGCCTTGTAAAACTTGAGGGCGCACCTGTTAAATCAAATACTTTCGTTGGTTACATACAGAAAGTCCATTGGTTTTGAGGATTGGAAATGTGATCTGATACTGCTTTAAAGGATTCTGGAATTCATGTCCAACACAACATCTAGTCACAGTGTAACTCGTGCATCGTAAGACATTCAGCAAGTGTTAATTAGTTACAAGACTTATGAAAGCAGATGGCAAAATTTAACGTCACCTCGGCAATATTTCAGCCATAAAGTGCCGAGAAAGGTTTTCAAAACACAATAAATATAAGTTGTTAAATAACCAGTCATTGAAGTACTGTAAAATAACTAGGGTATCACAGATGATGTTTTAAAACTAGCATGTAAATCCTTTAAAACTATTTTATTTACGGAGACCATACAATATAAAAACAGGCTATTGGTCGCCAACAACTGAAGATAGATCACTATGGGGACTTACAGTGCGTTTTGTTACCTGCATGGACCCTAGATGATTTACGGTTATGAGAAAGCGACATACATAGAAGCTGAAGTTTGAACGTTGGTACGTAAACATGGGATGTAAGACTGATTATTTTGGATAAAAAAAGTATTTAAATACATTTGTAAATATACACATTTTTAGATTTCAACATTTTACACTGACCACTGCACATGTAGGAAGGCGTGGAGTCATCCCACAGACGACATCCTTCCCTTTCTATAGTTAACCTCTTTGCTTCATATGGACAGGTCTTACGACCTCGCATCAGGTCCGTGGTTCGAATCTCATTGCGACACATCAAATGATGGCGACCTCCACACTAACATGCCACGTTGCAGAATGAACACTTACCCATAATTGTACAGAGAGAAAGAGATCTCTTGTCCAACCCTGCTCTGTTGTTCTGACGGTGATGGAGGGATGATGATACCAGCCTGTCCACCAGTACTGGAGATGAAGAGCGAACGCTAAGATGATACAACCCCGCATGCTAATGATATACTGATGACGTAATCTAATGAGGCGTGGAAAATTGTTTACATTTGATAAAATCACTGGTTCTGTCTGACCTGGCGTCATTATTAGCGGTCACGCAACCCTGGAAACCGCGCCACGCACCGA